GCCGCGAGTTTGAGACCCCTATATTAGATGTTTATTTATTAATATTCACGATTATCTCATTTTTTATAAAAAGAATGTAAATATTTATACTTTCCCACATCATTTTCGATGTATGCAGAATGTATGCGGGAACGGATTTCAAATTATCGTAATATTTCATTTTCGGTTTCGGCTTCGGCTTCGGCCAAAATTCATTTTTAACTTTCGGTTTTTTTTCGGCCGAAAGTCATTTTTAAACTTTCGGCATTTTTTCGGTTTCGGCCGAAAGTCACTTTAAACTTTCGGCCTATTTTCGGCTTCGGCCGAAATCAGAAAATCACTTTCGGTCGGTCTCTAATTGAGAGGTTGTTAGTTGAAATAAAATTATACTTTTTTTCTATAGAACAACACTTTAAAATGTAAACATTCAACATTTCTATGGTTTAAATAGGTTATTTGAATTAACATAATATTTATTTCAATAGGAAAAATAAATTCGGTTAGCAAAAATTTGGGTTTAAGAACGGGATCTCAGAACGGATTATGTTGGATATCCAAGAATTCGGGAAACAGGCGAACAGGTCGTGAGGATTCGCAAAACATATTTCTATACACTCTCACGTGCTACAATAGGAACAAAGACTAATTATTCCTAATTAAAAACCCGTTTATTTTTTAAAAGCAAACTATCTGGCATATATTAAATGAAAACATTTGTTAACATTAATTATTAAGAAATAAAGCATTTTCAAGCCAATAAATGACAATAGAAATGCATTAAATTTAGTCTTTTGAAGACTAACATAGTGAAGTTGAAGCGTGGAGTTACTTAATTACAGAGGGGACGTTTCTTAAAAATAAATGCTTTATCTTTGTAACGGTATTTTCCCGTCTTAAACTAGGCCTTTTCTAATTATAAATCATAAGAAATAATAGTTAATTGCGGTATTGAATATACTTTCGATTAACGTAAAACATTATTTGTTTTATATTGAATTATAGTTTCCTGTTTATTTTCAAATTAAATGTGACATGACAAAGTTGTCATTAGTTTTCGATTGCAAATACATTGATCAGTTTTCAAGATATCATAGGGTTATGTTATGTTGCTTTCATCTGCTTATTAAGGCAGACATTTTCAGTTAACATATAAGCGTATAAATATTAAATTATAGAAAGATATAACAAAAGTAAGATAAAATTAATGGAACCTTTTATTCGATCAAACTTCTTAACACCTCATATAACCAGCGTAATTAAAGTATACTCATAGAAATGTATATATATATATATATATATATATATATATATATATATATATATATATATATATTGTGTGTGTGTGTGCGCACATCTACATTCTCAAAGCTACACACCTGTCATTGCAGTTTACCGAAAAACTTGAAGTTGATAGACTATTCGTTTGACTATATGCATGACGTTTGCTCTGGTTGTGTCGGTAACGAGGACAGCAAAATATCATCTTACTAAAAGCCCTGCGAAAATCTTTCATTGAAAGTGCATAAATAATTGGATTCATTCCGGAATTTAAATATCCGAGCCATGTAAACACGGGAAACAGAATATCTGGCATATAGACACAGTCACCATGGCAAATTCCATACAGCACATTTGCACAGAAAAAGGGCACCCAACAAATGATGAATACCCCAACGACGATTCCGAGTGTTTTTGCCGCTTTTTGTTCTCTTGCTAGCTTTGTTATTTTCTTACTAATGGCGAAATGACGAATTTTTTTGGTGATAAAAGTGGATGAACGTGGGTTATGATCATGACTATTGTGATGAAAGACATGATGACGAGTATTCAGTGGGCTTTCTCCATCACTGTCACTATTACGATGGTCATAACTATTACTCGTTGATGTTAGCTCGTTCCGTAGCCGATATCCTCCTCTATGAATTCTTAGAGTCATAACTTCTCCGTTGTCTCCTCTTGGACAATCAGACGTAACTTTGCAACCACTTTTGATTCCTTCAGTTTGTGCTAGTGCAGCACGATATATTTTACAATAAACAAACATCATAATGATGGTTGGCACATAAAATGAAACGACAGAAGATATTATTAAATATGCACTATCCTCTGTAAACAAACATTGATGTTTCGGTAAATCCATTGGCGTAACTGCCCTCCACCAAGCGATGGCTGGAAAGGAAATTCCAGCAGAACAAAACCATACTAAAGCTATCAGGATGCAAACTTTGCTGTTAGACATTTTGCTAGGATATGCTATTGGATCAGTTATAGCCCAATATCTATCTAAAGAAATGACACAAAGGTTTAAAATGGATGCTGTTGACGCGAGAACGTCAAGAGATCGCCACATATCACACCAGGCTTGCCCATAAAGCCATACAGAATTGGTCAGTTCATTGCTTATGCTAAAAGGCATTACAACACCTCCAACCATAACATCTGCGATGGCTAAGGAAACAATAAAGTAATTGGTAACTGTCCGTAGATATATTTCTCGGTACACGGCAAAAATAACCATTAGATTTCCGATCACAACTACTAGACTAAATGTTGCCAAAAGTACTCCTATGGCAGGATTACTAAGCCTGTACAGTGGTTCTCCAAATGAAAAGTTTGTGTACACAAAATTGTCAAAAGATAATGAGTGATTAGGTAAGATAAGATTTTCCTCGCCTCCAGTTTCCTTCGTACCATTTGACGTTGTGTTGACAACATCTAGGTCCAGAGAAAAAATATTAGAGGTATTGAAAGTAACGTTTTGCATGTACAAATGTTTGCTTGGCATACAGCGACAGACACAGAGGATACGATGTCCAGGTATTTTTGTGAAAAGACGTTTATCTTTAAGATATTTCCTCACATGACTTCTCTTCATAGTATTGATAGTGGGGATTGACCCTTCTACTAGTAGGATGCAAATATCATCACATGTCACAGTATACGTTTGTTTTAATCATTGTATGTGCCCAAAGCATGCATATATTTACATTGTAACTTTCGAAACCTTTTGTAGCGATCATATTTATTTTTTTCGAAAAATACGTAGACATTGAAGGTATCAGATCAAAACTTTTCTTCTTCACAAATCTCCAACCATTATAAACATTGATACTGTATCATTGACCTCACTGATAGTCTTACAAAACTTTCAGTATTGAATATCACAAAGGAAATCAAAATCATATTCTATCCATGAGATTTATTCCAACACTCTTTTTACTCTTCAACTCTAATTATTTATAAGTTTTGTCGTGTAAAAAATCCACCTGCACATGTCCATAACATGAAGGTGTAAAATACCCAATCTTCTGAATTAATTTAAGATACTTTGCACTAAGAGCTGTAGCTGTTAGAAGAGAACCACGAAGATCTGATTTTAATATGTAGTATGTAGTACACATATTCTTTTGGGCAATGAAATAAGTTGCAATCTTTATGTTGATCTTAAAATAACGATGGAGGGATTTCAAGTCCCTCAGATGTACACTGTTGTTATCTTCTGCTGGCGATTTATGGCTGCACAGATAAACGATTCTTTTTCCTGGAGATTAAAAAAAAATAATAAGATTTCAAGTTTTAATTAATTTCGTCAATTTAAAAAATGTGAGCTGAGATGTTTTAATTAAAAATGTGTTCATTCAAATTAAGAAAATTAGTTGTTATAATATTAATATTATAATAAAACAATACGAAATAAATATTAATACCATTTGAATTATTAATCATAGTTTTATTCTAGATGAAAAAACGAACGGACGAAAATTTTAAGAGTACAAACGAATATCATAATAAGTATATATAATATATA